ATGAGGTTATAATTGTAATTATAAGAAAAAAAAGATGGCGCTAAAGAGCAAGGAGAAGTATGGCTGACACGTTACAAATGAAATATATTATCCAGGTGAAAATTATGCATAACTTAATGCGTTGTGCAATCGGATGAAATTCCGTTTAGAATTTTGTTTTTGAATATTTTATACAATGATCAAAATATGCATGCTTCGATTGGATGACTGGTATTAAATTGACTCTGTTACAAAATATATTTTCTTTGTAAACGTGCACACTTGCGAAATACATCAGAATATTATAAATAATAAATGAAATGTGTTAAAAAGTATAATCATAGTAAGAGAGTAAGCAATTGGTATCATGTTCATTACAATGCACCGGTATTTATTTATTACTTAAACGTCCTTTAATCTGTAACATAACTATCGTTAAAAAATACTGCTATTTACATTAAAGCGTGCCTTTGTAGAAAAAAGAAGTGAAAGTATATTGATGCATCAGCATGCACAATGCGCACACGTGCTTAACTAATAGTGTATATACAATAGTGGAGAGTATAAAAAGGAGCAAGTTAGCAATTTTCTTTTTACTGTTACTACGACTCACTGTTTCTCCTCCACGATCATGGTGGATCGCTATCCGGTCACTTTTATTTCCAAATGATACTGTACCTCCGGTACTCTAACAGGAATTGCTTTGATGCGGATTAATGACACTGCAAGAAAAACCATTGCCAAAATCGATGTGGTTAACGACGAAGTATCAGAATACATGCGTCTCTCTCTCTCTCTCCCCCCCCCCTTTTTATTACCACTCTCGAGCAGTATCGAAATCGTTCTCGACATGAACGCTGATTTTTTCTCAGCTTAAATACACGAGATAATTTGTCCCGACCTTGGACCGTCAAACGATCCGTAATATCGATTTCTAAATACAGCAATCGAATGTCAAACATCTAAAGAACAGCAAGCGCCACACGATGTGAACTGTACACTTGTAAAGAATGCTGATAACCGTTATCGCTGTGTTTTTGCAAACATTATAATTAGCCTAGCAATTAAATTATTTAACAATCTATACTCGTAAAATAATTTAACTAGAAACACTCTATGTAAACACTCTCTATGTACTTTTTACATGTTTTACATTAATGGGACGCACTGTACCACATTTAAGTAAAAGTAATTATTGTGTATTTTTTTTACTAACTTTACTGACATTAACATTGCACATTTATTGAATCTAATGATATTTTTAAAGTGAAAATATAAAAAGAAAAGTATATATGAGAAAACTTCCCTTAGGGTACTGTATTCCCCATATTAATGTTCTAGGGTTAATGTACACTTAACAACAAATGAATTCAATATACCACCTAAGTGACAGTAACTATTAACAATAAGTGACAACGAACGATCGTGTCAATTTTCTTCTTCCAATCATCTTTCGTACATTATCTGACTGCAGTAGCACCCCTAGTAACAGTGCCTGTCAAAGAAACCACCTTATATAATACATAGGTGCTTCCAATATTTCTTTATTATAGGTTACATTTTGCTCTTGCTTCTAAAGGACAGCTGCACCCCTGTTCCTAGTTTCGCGAGTACTATTTTAACCATTGCATTTATAAAAATTTGAAGAATACTTTAATTTCATATTTATTAGCAACATTTAATAAGACATCAAGCAAGAAATGAACTAATTTAATTTTTTCAATTATTTACCGTGTTTGTATATATTACTACTTGCTGTATTGCTACTATGCTGATAACAAAAGACTATTAAGATGACATTGAATTCACTTGAAGTCTGTTAACTGTGTAATAATTTGGTTAAGTGCATTCTACCCTACGCGTGCTGCCACGCGCCGATTTATGACGAAAGAAACGTATCACAGAACTAAAACATCACAATCGCTGACGTGTCATATTGAGACACTTTACGAAACAGATCTTGTTTGTGCCTAAAATAAAAATAACGTATTAAAGATTACTTAAGTTAAGCGATGGCTTAGTTGCTTTCCAAAGATAATATTCAAAAATGGCAAAATTCTCCCGCTTAATACCATGTAATACCATGTTTGCAATAAAAAGTATCAATATTTATATTCGACTGCATAAAAACTGACCTTCTGATAATTAATTTCCTGATTTTTCTGAATCGTTACGTACAATACGTTAATTGATATCAAGAATTACAATAGGAGTCGATATAAAAATCAAAATTTCTCAATACCTGTAGAGGGATAAAATTTCTTATCATAGCAGATAAGAAAGATTACAGAAAGAACAAACATCATGAAGAGTGTAATATCTTTCAGAGTTCAACGTGTTTGATTGCGGATAAGTAAAATTAAGAAAATGTTAATATGATATTCATTTGATAATCTCGTTTATAAATATTTGCATTTTTTATTTACAATACTTTGGAAGTAATAATGTGTATTTAGAAATTGTCAACAACTTTTTCGAATCTGCAATCTACTTTCGAAAGGTAAGTGTGTAAGATAAATTATAATCTATAAGAAAATTACTTATAACAGAAATTGCTTTGGTAAATAAAATAAAAGTCATCCGCAGAAAAATGACAAAGAGGTGTGAGGGATACTGTATGCATAGCGAAACCCTGTCTTTGAAAATAGACAACGGGGTCATTGAGCGATCAACCTGCCACGCATATACGCAGAGCTATACACATGATGGCATATATACGCGAATATGTATACGTATTCCAGCGACCCAAGCACGACCTTGAATAATACTGCAGAGTCATGAACGAGATATGTATTCGATTTCTCCAGCAGTGAGGTTTTTCAGGTGTCTCAAATATCTACAGTCAAAGTCCTAACCTATGACGACACTTGTACCCTGTGACTCGTCTTTTTCCTTTCATCCTATAATCATAATCATAAATAATCGTTATAATCAATATTAATTATAAATGTTGTAAATATTATAACAAGCAAATTATTTATAAAATTATAATTATATCTATACTTCATTCTACAGTAAATGAAAATCTAAGGTATTACTTTTTTTTTATCTATTATTGATAAAATTATTACAGCAATAACAAAATGATTATCTGTATCGTTTCTTCAAATTAACACTAGATAAGTAAACTTAAAGTAATGCATTAATTATAAGTCTTGTAGTGGTCTTAAATGATGGACTTATCAGTAAGAGTATAGTGATTAGATCCGAATGTTCTTTTGTGTACCCACACATACACTTTCGTGGTATGTACATATATTTTAATTTTGTCATGCAAATAAAGAATGAACGTTAACCTTCTGTGCCTTCTTTTAAATATTTTTCTAAATTTTATTGAATAATTAAACAACGCTCCTTCAAATTACCATATGCAAATTGTTGCTTTTTTATACTTAAAAATCGGACAGTATTGCTATACAACACAATTCCTTGCTATTCATAAATCCTTGCGGTTTCCATTTACAGTACTAAATACACTCAAGAACACTTTGAAAATTATTTCAATGTCAATAGTATTCTATACACTAATACAAATGTTACTGATGTCTCGGAAGGTCAAATTATGCGGAGCCAATTCTAGAATATCCTTGAGAAACTTTAACACCATGCATTCAGCATAATGTCGCACATTTTCTGATAAAAGATTTGGAATTCTAACTAAAATCGAGTATATTTTTCTGCTGAGAAATTGCTATCTAAAATATCTATAAATATACAAACAAAATATTTCCTATATTTCATAACAAATTTTCCTATTATACAGGGTGTCTGTTTTATCTCAATACAGTGAAATATCTTTCAAGGAAGTGATGTTAGGAAAAAAATGTTTTAACAAAAGTTGTTTGGTACGAGGGGGAAAATTATGTGGTATAAATATTTTTTTTGTACCGGGTATGATGGGGGAGATTTTGAAGTCAGTCATGGAAGATCGTAAAATTGCGAAAAACCGGGGGCCGGACCACCATACGTTCCTCACTGTCGCGTGTGTCTGTTTTATCAAAGGAAATGACTTTGTTCGCACCTCGTTGGACTCGTCTTAACATACACTATCATATTATGTATAAAAAAGTATAGCATTCCATTCAAAAAAATTAAACTGATTTCGAAATCTCCCCCACCATACCCGGTACAAAAAAAATATTTATACCACATAATTTTCTCCCTCGTACCAAACAACTTTTGTTAAAACATTATTTTCCTAACATCACTTCCTTGAAAGATATTTCGCTGTATTGAGATAAAACTTATATTTCATAAAAATTTTCAGAGATAGTTTGAAACATAACCTTTCGATGTATATACCTCAGCTCTACCCTTCACAATAGCGACTTCGCACGTGGCGCGTCAGAGACCACTCTTGACGAAGGAAACTTTGACCAGCGAATTTATCTTCCAATTCATTGGACACAACACGTGAACTATTCATGAAGCATGTGTTTACAATACGGATGGAAACTATATTTCAAAAGGTGTCCTAACCTCTCCTAAAAGTACAAAGTGGCAAATTCCAGATAAACATTTATTTTTCCTAATTATAAATACTCAAACAGTCCGTTTAAGAATCTCCAACGCTAAATGCTCGATATAGCTTATTCTGATCAGGCAAAGATTTTTTTACGTAGCGATAACTGGAATGGCCAATTCAATTTGAATTGAAAGCGACAGACAGAAGTAAAGGAATGCACGATTTCTGGAACCCGCGTGTAATTAAAACTTCTCACATAAATTTCAATGCTCTAATTCTCTCGCTAATAATATCTCCGCTGAAAGTTTTTTCGTTTTACCTGACAGAAAATTTATTAACAAAATGGAACAGACTTAAGAACACATACATCCAGCTGCAACAAGATTTTTCACCATTAAAGATGATACACGTGTCCACGAATCGTGCGCGTGCAGATCCTAACTGGAAAGTTCCTATTGGTCAGCTTCCTGTCTGGGAAGCGTGCATGTGTCCCTTGATCACTTACGTGCCACAAATCTACTCGATCGCACGAACGACTAATGACCGGTATCCTCTTGATATTAGGTCGAATTATGTAAACGAGCAAGAAACGGATTTCTGTCGAACGCCATAGGAATTATCTTATCAACGACGCACAAGAATCATCGTGCCATCAGTTCCTCGTAGTATACTAGAATCTTAAGCAAAAGTATGCCGGTTATTGTTCTCCTGGAATCGACTATTGATAACGAGTCAGACATTGAATCTTGATTAATATTGAAACCGAAGAAAATAATTCCAAGGGGAAACATTGTACAATCCGACAACATTTTTATTGTATTTCGTATCGATTATTCGTCACTTTTTATCCATATGAGAATGAAGAAAGAGTGATTGAAATAATTGGAATACAATGGCAACGTAACGTTAGAGCAGGATATTTCGATTTCTACTTTACTATTTTATTCGATATTGGCAGGCTTCTGAGCCGTTTACGCCAAGGCTATCGTCTGACCGCTGGAGCACTGGGTATCGTGTTACAACCCCATTTCCTAGACTAGACCATGATTCTAAAGACGATAATTTGACGGTTAATTGTGTGATCAGAGAGAAAAATAATATTTTAATCGGGTTATATGTAGAAGTAGAAATATTTAATATATCTACAATAAATATTGAAAATATTTATGAAATAAAATTTGCTGACAAAATGATTCAGAAATGATGAGTTATGAAAACTTACGATAGTCAGCAAATTATTATAAATGAGGTAATATTGTTTTTTAACGACTGTTCACTTTGCATATTATCTTTTTACCTATAAAGAGGGAATAAAACAAGTGTATGCCTATAGATTATGAGAATTGACTGTTCCTAACCTGATCTACTAATTTAAAGATTATAGACTGATTACACGTTTTCAAGTTGACACGTGGATATACAAGCTAAATATCGAGCCGGCACTGAAAAATTCATCGGCTCTATTTGTCTATTACTTTTACTTTCAACTAGGACTGCATGCCGCATAACAAGTTTCTTTAATGGAAAGCGTGAAGAAGGAAATGGGTACGTGACATCGACCCAATTATGCGCTGTAACATTGGATTACCATAGATATAGACTTCCCACCTGCGCTCCTACTTTCCTTAAAATAAACAAATAAACGAATGCAGTATAAATCAATTACCCGTAATATACAGGGTGGTTTCATAGACACGAAACATTGAATTATTTCCATTATCGTAAATGACATTAAAAAATATTTAAGACATGAACTGTATTATATTCCATGTAGCAAATAAACCGAGATATTTTTTTTTCAAAATCAGTTTTTCATACGTATACTTTCAGTAAAAGATTGAATTTTAAACATTATCAAAACTATTACAACTATTTTATTGTTTTATTATTGATATCATTTGTCATACTTGTTATCTATTAATCACTCTCCACATGTTCATTATGATCTGACAAATATTTTTTAAACATCCTGTATGGTGCAAGTTAACGAAGCAAGCAATGTCACTTTATCAAACGGTTCCACCCTACGTATTTTTCTTTTTCTGATAATGTTATCTTCATATCGTGATTTTATATTCTTGAAACAAGTCTAACGAACACCTATCCCAGAAATGATGAATCGTCATTAGATTAACCGGCTTCTGTATAATTCATAACCTGTTACTACTAATTCGCTTTAAAATAACGTGTTACCTCTCCAATAACTTTTTCAAACGAACTATTCACAGAAATAAATACTTCGATATATACACCTTAACCCCTATTCCAAGTTTACAAAAAACCACTAATATTAATTAAAATCATCTGAAACCCATCCAGAAAGTTAAACTGGCGCCATCTCCGAAAAGTTTAACCGATTTCGTCCGATAATTACCGACGGAGGGCGACTATCCGGCGATAGGTTCACGGTCGTTCTGCGGGCAACGAGAGTCAAATTCATCGAGGCAAACACGGACGTAGGATGCATGTAAAAAGCAACCGGAACGCGTAAACCGCTCTGGGAAGCCCGGAGATAACGAGTTTTACTACACTGAACATTGGACCCTATATAACTGGTGTTACGCTTAAGTTGTGCCAAGGTGAACCCAAGCTAAGTGTACATGTTTGACTTATATGCACCATTAGGCTCGTGTGTTGTGTTTACTACGAGGCGCTATTGAAACTCGCCGCGAAGCATTACTTGAACTCACGTTGGTCGTCCGTGTTCGAACGTGATTAACGTCGTATAGTGACGAGCATAACGATAATCGAGGCAAGCGGTTGATAAATGCAATTAGAAATGTTCACAATGAAGATAAGTATAAACGTATGCGTATAATTCTATTAGTGGATATTAGTATTCCACATTATGTATGAAGTTTAATTGTCTGATAAATATGTAAAATTATGTGTAAAAAATTGTTTCAACATACAAACTAGATAATGTGAAAATGTGAATTCCAATTGCCTTCTTGTAATATTAAAATAAAGATTGTACGATATTTGAAATGAAAAATAAAATATTCATGTATGCATAGTATAGTTACGTATTTATGTGACAAAGATGGAAAGTAACAAAGAAACGAACCCTCAACCTAGTGACATGAATTAAAAAGTAGAGAGCCACCTTTTAGCGATACAAGAAATTACAGGTAAAATTAGTACGACACATATAACATAAAAAGTGCACACAAAATCATCGAATCATCGTTTAATAAAGATTGACATTGAGAACAAAATGACTAGAAATATTCAACATCTATAAATACACAAATTTATAAGCGGAAACTTATAAACGAAAGAGCACAACACTATCGAAAGGGAGCATCGATCCAGCGGTGGATAGTTTTCGTGCCACATTCTCGTTAATAATTTACTGTATCAGTCAACGTGAATGCAACCTGTACAGTAGCACCAGTTGTTTTCATCTTCCTCACCACTGTGTTGCACTACTATTGTCTTGGTTGGCGAATTACCACATGATACTGAAAACTGCTATTCGTGTGTGCTTCTTGAAACTATTACAAAAATTTTATTCTTCTAGATAAAGTTTTAACCCACAACGCCATCAAAGCGAAATTAAAAACTCCGTAACGCTCAAATGGTAACTGACAGCTGATCAAACCATGAAAATATTGTGAACGTAGTTTATTTATATTGTCCCATATAAAATATGAAAGATACCTACGCATTTTTCCCTAAATATAACAATAAACTATCTTATACAAAACGTAAACATACCTATATGCAGGATAAGATTTAATCTGAAAACACTACGTTTAAAGATGAACTTACTAACAGCAGGTAAGATAAACATTCGTCGACCGGCGATGTTTCTTTTCCTATTCTTAGTTGCGGACAGTACATGTCACGCGTGGCACGGCTATAGGCAATAAACCGAATACAAATAAGACGCTGTGAAGTAAAGTTCTTTTAAATATTTGAAACGACTCGAAGCGCGTACGCGCATAGGTAATGCGATCGCTTGCATAATCCATTCATTCATCAATAACAGCACTTGATCGGTAACAGCGTACAATTTGACCGTGAATTCAATATCCGGCAAAACGATCGATGACATCTTTGCGGAAGCCCGCAACTACGAAAGCGACAATATTCACGCGATAAGGTAAATGAAGAATGTTACCGACCAACACAGAATCTGTACTTAGAGCAATCATTGTCATCCCGGAAGTTTGAATCGAGAGTAATTCAAAGTCATTTCAACTAAACCACAACGGGTTGATTGTACGTCAAGTCAAGTGTCATTACAAAAAACAAAGATATTTTGCGATTGGTTCGCATGCACTATATACGCGAAAACGAAAGTTTGAAACAGAAAATTGAAAATCATATCGCGTTAAATTTCAAAAATTTGTACAATTAAACAGTCAGAATATAGTGTAGGAAAAATGAAGCAAATTGCTTACCTTTTCTACACACTACCACCGATTATTCCGATTTTTTGATCTCGCGGTCACTTCCTAACGAGTTCGACGATTCCTGTCGACTAACAGTCGCTTTTCCCACCGCGATCAGAAGAGGAAATTATCACTATACGTGATCCACGGGTCGAGAATAGTGTAAGTAGATGTGTACGTGTGTTAGTAACGTTTGTATGTACGCATATATGCATACGTATATAGGTAAACGAAGAGGGACGAGAAAAGGGCACGAGGGACAGCCGATCCACGGCGTGACGTTCTCCGTAGCGATCGGCGAACAACTGAACTTATATCGTGAGCAACATGAGGAGTTACGTGAGTTATAATTTTCTGACGATCTTTGATCTTTGATCCTTGTTTCACGACGGTAGAGCCCAATACCCGGGCATGATATTGCCTAACACTCACGGAGGGTAAACTGTGACAAACATGTGACAGTGAGACAGCTGTTCGACAGATCGTCTAGATGTCATTATCAGTAGGTACGTTACGTCGAGAACGATATCGTTTCTTTCCGATGAAATTCTCATAGATTAAGGGGCACTTATTTCTCAAACATGCACCATTCAAACGATCTTGTTGTTCTTACATTCGTTACGATAATCGATCGTTAAGATTGTACTTCTTTGAATCTTCCCTCGTTCAGAACAATTATCCCGATGATACCTCGCTACTTGATAAGATAAACCACGAAACACTTAACACCACGTGCTTCTGCACTGTGAACTGATACGATCCACCGTCGACCGATTCTATACTCGCGGCGGTAACACGTAACGCGCACTCGAGCGGTAGCTCAGTATTCGCGCGAATAATACTCGAATATCAGCATTTCTTCTATATACAAGACACTTTTTCTTGTACACATGTCAAATTTTTAACCTATCACACATTGAGGTCCCGCGGATACTGCGTATATTTCGGCGAAACTGAACGTACCCTACTCTCGCATGCACTAACGCCAGCGCAGAACACCGACCACTCTATACATGCTCGATCCAGTAGCGGCCATCTTGCTATTCGTGAGTTTAAAGCAGAAGGAATCGATGAAGGAACTATAACACAGTTTGCTGAAATAGACATATGATACATTGTATATCATTTTTAAGAACATTACGAACGACGAGTGATAATAAGAACTAATTTGATTTTCAATATAACTGTTTAAAAAACGTTATTTTAATTTGAATACAATTTTGATTTGAAATCTCCCGCCAATTTTTCAACATATCTAATGGTGTGTACTTCAAAATTTGCGTGTGTAATCCTGTAATTTTTGTTAACATGACATAATGAACGTAAAAAATATCGTAAATTACCTAGAGAAGCACAAACAATACTAAATAATATAACATAAATCAGTTTATGTGCTTGTAAGGACTCAAGGATTTGACCTGCAAACCGCGATGGTCATGCTTTTCGATATAGATAGCCGGCCTGCACGTGAACCAATCAGGAGCCAAGTTTCAATGGGCGGGGATGTGGCGTGATCCACGATGACGTCATAGTAGTCCGCAATCGATAACTGCTGGACGTTTAGCAAACCCCTTCTAACCCCGTTACTGTAGTACTACATACGATCAATGTTCGAATTGAATGCGCCACACAACTCCTACGGTATGATCGCGCATTCTTCACCTCGATAAAATAAATTTACTGTATTGACAGAAATTCTAGCCTAGTATTCTAATTTTATTTTTAACGGTGAAAACAGAGGAAAAAGCCCAATGTTTTTAAGATTCTCAAAAGAAAAACAAAGATGTTACCATCACGGTAAGGAAGTGATTTTATCGACTATACTGATTTCTACTGTACTTAATATCAACAACTTTCCACAAAATAATATTTTGTTATATTGTAATCGTGTTATTAGTATATAAACTTATACATATAAGAATGTGCAATTATAAAAATATATTTACCTGGCAATAACATCTACAGTTTATTGCATTTTGTAAATAAAATACTATACTGTATGTCGTATTTAAATGTATTTACGTAATTAATTAGGCTTATAGAAATAACAAAGTATACCTATTTGGTGGTATAATTTAAAATAACTCTTATATTTTTAATTTTTTTATTTTTTATTGATGTGATCGATTAAAATCGTACATTCTCATGTCTCCCCCTACTGGATGCTTCACAATGTCAAAAGTAAGTACAGTTTTTCTTAAAGTTAATGAAAATAATTTCAATCCAAATGTTTGCATAAAAATCATAATTTTAATATTTCCAATAACTTAATATATACATTTAAACCGGACATACCGTGTTACGTATACTTTTTTTGCATAATGAAAGTGTAGAATACCATATACAATAAAGTCAACAGCATAATTAACGTTTAAACTTTATTAAAACCAACAACATTAACAAGAACAACAAGAACAAATCATTCCTTCGGAAACAGTCCACAGAAACTCGATCTTACACAAAACTCAATCGTCCTGCTGCATGTCGCTCAACGACGTCGCATACCAGTTAGTTATGCACTTGTATAGAATGGTTCGCATCATGAATGAGCAAGTGCCAGGAGACCTACGACATTAGTAACATGATTCAAATAATAATAGCCTCGAATATAATGATAACGCATCGAATCAAACCTTCGAGAAATCACAAAATGCATTAAGACATTTGTCGTTAAGAGGCCAGTCATGGTGCTGCTACAGATGCTAAAAGCAGTGCAAGAAAACAAGCCAACAAAACCATAGAGTATGTAGTTATCAGTACGGTTATGATGTTAGTAACATAAGACATACGAAATTCAGTCGAACGAGCGATGTCAGATGGTTCACAAATATTCTTGCATTCTGTACTCTCACCTTCGCTATTTGAATCGCGTTCATTACTCTGTAATTTAACATCGGTCGATATTACAGTTTCTTCTTGATTACGTTCTTGTTCCTTGTCGTTCAGCAACACCAAATTGTTTTCAATGTTTAACGAGGGTTTAACTTCCTTAACCGCAATGTTACTAGCACAAGAAACATTATTGCTTGTGTCCTTTTTCAGTAACGCCTCTAGTTCTTCAATTTCCTTTTCATGCTTGCATAAACTCGCGGCTGCTAACTGTAAATCATGAACTGCTTTGGTCAGATCGAGTTCTGGGTCAATATGCGAATCATTTTTCACCTCTTCTGTTTCCACTACATTGTGGTCCTCTTTCAAAGTTATCGTTGTATCTCCTTTAGGAACTACATTCAACGGATCGGTGGTTCTTGATGAACTAGACAAGTCGTCGTTCGTGTCGTCTTGACTGTAAGTAATGGAGCTACGTGTACTAGTGTTGGGCGCCGTACTATCGGTTTCTATTTCAGAACGGTGCGACGTCAGCGAATTCTTCTGGCTTAAACGACTATCGCGTAAGTGATCCGCCACGCTGCTGAACGCCTCCGCAATTAGTTTAACATTTTCGTCTGCGACACGAAGATAGAAGTCGAACGTATTATCGTCAGTCTTCTCGGAATCTTCATTCTCAGGATTAACAAGGGATTCCGTTAGTTTCTCTACATCTTCTTTGTCTGTATTTTCCTTACCATTCACATCATTGTTCTCCGAATAATGACTACCTAAAGACTGAATACGCAAAACCGAGGATTCGTCTGTTTCATGACTATCGTTTAAAGCATCTATTTTTGCAGAAAGTTCTGAACGAACATCAACTATTTCCTCAGTCGGTTTCACGTCCGTATCATTCTGCCCCTCAATCAAATTGACTAAGTCTTGGCATAAACGGCTGTACGCCATAAAATCAAATTCTGTATCTTGATTGGACGACTCGTTGAATTTTGTCTGCACGCAATCCTGCCAAAATTCATTATTCAAAGCCTTCGACAGTATATCATTAGATTCCATGGAATTATGTGCTTTCGCGTCCTCCTCGTTTTTGTCCTCAGTACTCTGTACCTTAGTCGACGGCGAAACGTAAACACGCAATTTTTTCCTGTGCACACTCGTGACTGGATGATTGCCATTTATATCGGTTTTAGTGCTTTTCAATAAACTATCAGTACGCCATCGTGTGTCGTAATCAGAAAGTTCACCATCGCTTACCACGCGCCTATCAGTTCGTATAGGTAACGACTTAATATTTATTATCGTGTTACTCATCTCATCCTTGATTTCCTGGAGACTTGGCTCCCTTCGAAGATGAATCGTATCGTGATTAATTAAACCATACAAATTGGCGGACAAAGATCTAACCGCTTGTTTCTTTTTCGTACCAAAAGTGGTTTTCTGATCCCTGACGATGCTGTTTTTACTTTCAACAGGGCTCTTCGCCGTGTTGGCATCCTTCCTGAGTGTTCGATAGGCCAAGTCGTCTGTAACAATGTCAGGCTCGCACTGCGGTATGTACGGCGAACGAGGATGATCTGGCTTAGTTGGTGTGGTGTGTAAGTAGTCGCTTTCAGTGGCAGCCGTCACCGGCCCTAAAGGTATTCCAAACGGCGGTTGAGGCTCGATCACTTTCAACGTGTTGTTAGAATGATGAATGCTCCTGTAAACTACATCGTCGCGTGTCACATCAGGCTCGTCTCGGCGTGACGGATAATTCGTCGTGTATAGATAATCATCGGTTGCGTCTTTGCGTGACAAGATGGGCGAGGCTATCAGGTAACTGATATCAGAGAGCGCGGATTGCCCGACCACTTCCGACAACGATGTGGGTCTCTCCTTTGGGTGCATTCGTCTATAAGCCATATCGTCTTTCGTTCGATCTGCTGAATCTTCGGAAATAAGAGGAACTACGGTGGTTTTTGCTTGACGCAGACTAAATTCCTCCATGCTGCGTCGTTCCGCCCGATCAAGGAGATCTTCGTCTCCAAGACGAAGACTGTTGTATATTGCTTCTAATTCAGACAGTGCTTCCTCTAAGTTCTTGGAACTTCTTTTCCTTTCTAACGCATCCTGTTCACTTGTTACTTGTTTTTCTTCCTTCTTTTCCGCTCTTATATTCGCTACAGATGTATCATTTAGTAGGTTATAAGTATCTTCCCGTGTAATTTGTCTGATCGGTGACCTCGTATGGGAAGAATCTAAAGACTTATTATAAGTAGGTGAGGCAGAATTATTGCGCATATTTTTAATGTAAGTAGTGGATGATCTATTTTCACGTATCTTATTATCGTAGTTTTTAAAGCTTGATGTTAGCTGATCGTTGCGATGGTTCCTCCTCTGACACTTCATTGCTTCTGTTTCCTTAGATATTGGCTTGTTCATATGTTTACCGGTTGAATTGTGTCTATTATTCGTACATTCTGATAAATTGCAAGATTGTGTCGAAGTCATGGTCAGAGACAATGGACGTCGTGGACACTCTTTGGTCGATCCACACCAACTGATCTCATTATTCGAATCGTAGGATCTTATGCTTTTCAAATGATCTTTTGTCACTTCGTGAATATCGTTCATTTTTGTACGTAAGCTATCGTTGTACCTTGTTACACGATATTTTCCATTAAATGGAAAGGAATTACAGCCGTAAGTAAAAAGTCGGCAACGGGGGTCTCTTGGTGGGGGTTCAGGCGGAGAGGAACTTCGACTTGCAAACTGACGATTTCTAGTGTAATCGTAAAGATCGGCATAATTTGTACTAACCGTGGACGAATTGAAAATATAATTATTTTCCTCTTGATTCGCATAATTCCTACTTTTGTGCAAAACATTTGGTTTTGCATATGTATTATTTTGCATTAAATCTGTAATGTATTGGCCTGTGGGATGTTTTGTGAGATCGGTAGATGATTTAGCTTGATAATTGGATGCAACCATCCCAGATTGTCTGATATTTTCAACAGATCTTTGAACAGGAAAAGTATTGCTGTTAGAGTAATTGTTAAAACGTGGTGACTGTTGTGAAGATCGACATAATTCATTCGCATTCATAGCCACTGATGATTGTTCTTCGTTCATAAAGTCAAGACTGCTACGTTTGTTTGCAATATTGTTCAAATTTTCTGTAAATTTGTTGCCCTCATCCCTGGATAAACGTTTTATATAACGTTCTGTACGTGCAGCACGACTTCTTCTGTTGAAAGAACCATTCTTTTGTGTGCTCTGCATAGCAGAGTCATTTTGATATCTTGTAAGTGAATTACAAGATTTGCGTGATTCTTCATCTGAACTACTGTCTGCACAAATACGATCCCGCTTTGCTTCTATTCGAGCCTTTAGTTTACTTTTTCTTGCTTTTTTACTTAATCCATCTAATGATCCATCACTGCTATGGGAATGTACAGAATCCCTCTGTAAACTTGCTGTATCCATTGATTTTGTAGCAGTATCATTTAGATTATCGTTATTTAAATGCTGATGTGAATTCTTTTCAACTGGATGAAGAATAACATTATGTGACTTTCGATTAAACACTGTGCGAGTTCTTGGTTGCCTTGTACAATATACTATTTCTTCATCGTTAGAGGAACTATCATAATCTCTGATTGATGATATTCTTTTTAAGATTCCACCAATTGACCACTTTTTTTCTTTCTTTTTGTCTGGTGAAGTCACTGCATCACAGACAGGCAAGCGTCGACTTGGTGGCAAAAGACCATCCATTCTTAGGATGTCCCTTCCGCTGATACTTCTTTTTTCCATTATGAATAAATAATATATTTTAAATCATAATATTTAAGTGTAATAACATTACTATATATTAACAGATTTGATTAACTACATTATTATTCTTTAAAATTGTAATTTTACTTACGAATATACATATGTATATATGTATATATAAATGCAGAAAATGTGTAAAAATATGCAAATGCAAACACTTTGTTACAACTTTCAAAATGTGTTACATTTTATTTAAGCAACGAATCCTCCTCAATTCTATGTATCGATATGTTTACACAGTGAACACCTTGAAACAGGGCTCCCATTATAAACAATTATATACCATTACGCGCATGTATATAAATAGAATAATATTGTCTGCTAACCTCCATGCAGACGTTCGACTGAATGATTCAGTTAAGTATTAGGCGAAGGGCGAATATTCTGTACATTTGCCAAAAGATTCTCCTGAGATTCAGAAACGTCAGTCACAAAAATCGTTCACATCATTCACACGGCTTAAAAAATCGCGAGACTACGACTCAGGTCAGTACATCCAAAGCAGCGCTGATAATGCTGATAAGATCTCCACACCACTCCTGTAGGCTTTCGCAGTATGCTCGTTATCTTGACAGATGAACCATGGAAGCGGTGTCTCGACTTTACTTTCGTGAACAACTCGTTTCTGTGCTTCCGCACGTCTTAAAAGCGGAAACTCGAGCGCGTTCGAAAATCACGAAAGGATTTGGCCAGCCCCGAGACACCTATGGTCTGTAACTGATCTTTGCTTCGCGCTTATTTAGCGCTGCCATTACATGGACATCGGTGAACGCGTATTACGCGTCGAACACAAAGGATACTGTTAGACTACGCGAAACTGACTCGAATCAGATCGAATCAGATATGAGAAGAGAAGGGATTCATCGTTTAGACCCCACCCATTACACCAGCCTCCCCCCGTGCTGTCGCGCAGAATCACGCACGGTAAATCGTGCACGCAACTTACGCACTCATGCACGACAGACACAATATTCATTTAAGAGCTTTGGGACTATTATAACAGTGTTGTCCAAGCCAAATTTAGCAACGTAGGGTGTTTACCCCATTTTATTATCTCTGTAATAACACAGTATGTATTCGCGTTATGTGGGACAGATGGTAGTATTTTTTTTGCGAGTGTGTTGATTTTTCTAACGGCTGTACATAGAGGGGGACACATAAGAGACTCCAGTGTGTACAGCACTGCTTTATGACGATGCCTCACATAGAAACCCTCTCTGATAAAACTCTGATGGTACGGTAGGAAGACGCCATTCTTCGGTTAGAAACGGAAGCAGAGGAATTTATGAAAGCGGTTCGTTTAACGCGATTTTAGTGTCTTTAACTATAAAATGTAGCACAAAACATGGTAACGACCAGTTACATAATTGTAGAGTTTCTTCTTGATTTAATAACGATCAGGATCGTTTATTCCTTTTTCTTTTATGGAAATGTTATACCGAAAAATGAAAAATAAATAATTCGGTACTTGAATCGAGTCATGGAAACCTTGAACTTACGACACCGTGTCGTTGTAGAGATTCAACTTTAAACTGTACTGCATTCCAGATCTGAATTACGTCACACTACAGATATGCGACGAACCGCGAAACTAAGAGACAATATTATAAATAGAGATTCTTGTGCTTGTAGTCAGCGGACTTATTTCAATTTAAGTTGAACTTGAGCTTTTGTGTTTCTTTAGTATTTCAAAATTTCAGTCTATTCTGAAGCTTATATAAATCGTATTGATTGATTCTATAGAATTAACTATCATAATTGATGTTGAAAACAAATCACGGAAATATAAAGAAGAAATAAGTGCATTCTTTGAATGAAGTGCGTTCTTTAACTTATATTGATTTGCCTTTAATGCATTCGTATTAAAATCGTAATTGCCCCTTATAAGTGAAGTGAAGTATTTCGCGCTTTCATCACTTTAAATTGCATATAATTGTACGAGACGCACATTTCTCGTACGTTCGTTGAAGTTGTATTTGTGCAGGTACAGGGTGTCTCTTAAATTCAGCACTTTTCTAATGTATTTAACAGATCACGCTTAAATAAGAAAATTTTGCACAAACCTGTAGAATATTTTTACAAGACTGTGATTCAAAATAAAAATTATCAGAGCATCACATGGTAGATTTTAAAAAGTTCGATTGTCGCGTTTACCGTGAATTAACGTCGTCGGAATGCGCGACATTTCTCTCTTTTAGAGAGTTGCAGCGTGGTGCAGCAAAAAGACAAACGACTATCATTTGAAAGAGTTCTTATGAAAAAGTATACCATTCATCACGTTAACATGTAAAGACTTTTTTTTCATTGAGAAGATACATGGATGTTATATAATGTTTTCGACATGAAACGTATAAAAAGGAATAAAAAATGGAATGTCAATTGCATTTTGATCTTCTTTTTATTAAATTCGTTAAAATTCATCTACATTTCGAGGTCCATCTTCAAAATCTTGCACTGCTTTCTCTTCCATCCAAACGTTGGTCTAAAAAACCTATAAAATACTGAAATATTTTCTATTATAAAATTAATCAAAATCCATCCACATTTCAAGCTGCATCTTCAAGTATTTATACCATTTCCTCTATCATCAGTGTGGATTTAAAAAATGGGCCAAACAGCTCATGAAGAACTGAAATTCTTTTTTTTAAAACAAATATATAAAAAATTTATCCATATTTCATCCTCTATGGTCCACTTTTATCTCTCTTTGCTTACACATGTTACTACTTGGCGTTGATAGAACAAAAAATGTAAGTTTAACAGAATTTTAGATATTGATAAGTATTATCACATGTAACTTTCTGACTTCGTTTTCTGCATGTTTACTTCTGTTTGTAACGATATGAAATAAATGTTTTAATCACGTCTTAAATTACGTCAAAATTCACTTTTGGAAAATTGCTAAGGCCAGTCCCTTCATTAACATTTCCATTTAACTAATTATTTAATACCGATCGTAATTTGTGAAATCAATTTTACATGAAATTTTACATAATAAAAATTCTGCACCTAATGGAATCTATGTTTGAGCAAGAAAAATCAAAATTGACATTTTTTTAATCATGCCACTGTTGATGCCAAGGATCGATATTACAAAATGGATCAAAAATCCACGAAAAGTCGAAACGATCTTTTCATCGTTTCTTTTTCTCACGTGTGCGAGGTCCAACAACATTCGCGGATATTTTAAGAACGGTTCGGGAAAAAAGAGCGCGACGCGTGTGTCTCGTGAAAGTTATAATCCTTGCGGAGGATTTTTCGTGCTACCAGACATTGTACGTTACGCGAAGTGTTAAAGGTCCAGAACGGGGACCATGTTATTCTTTCGAAATTAGGTATTCATGCTGCATCATTCCGGTCCAGAGAGCCATATACGGCTGGCCAAAGACACGGTGCATGATGTATACGTACTGTATCTCATCGGTGCAGCAAGGAGAAAGCCGCTTTCAGCGTTAATTCAGGACAGGTACCTTTATTTCGCGCGTGGCAAAGGGAAAAAAAACTCGATAGGCGAAAAAATCGACGAAACACCGATTAACCGCTCGAAATAACAGCCCGAATCTTTTTATAGCTGCGCGCTGTCTATTTATACCTGAAAGTGTGTTTGAAATCGTTGCGCGAAGGGAAGTATGCAATTTCGAACGTGTGAAAAACTGGTGCAAGGTAAGTTTACAGCGTTCGAGGGCGGACAGATTGGAACGATGGAAAAAAACATTTCTCTGAAGATCGTTGCTCTTTCACGGAAATAACACGATTATTTTTCGTCAAAAATGTTTCTCTGTTTCCTCTTCGCGTCTGAGATTATTTGGTAGTTTCGAACAGTGTATTTATAAAATACGAAGAACTCCAGGAAGAAGTTACAGAGTCGAAAAAAAATAATTTATTCTTAGCAGTATTGCTTGAAAATTAACAAAAAGAAGAGAACATCTGATATTTTCAAACACCCTGCAGTTAATACTGTTCGAGACCTGGGGACTGCTAGTATCGCAAGTAAATTGGAATCTGAGGATCGACTGATACGATACCGTATGAGTGTCAATACTGTATCAGTCTCAGTGTCAGTGTCAATATTTGTATTTCGTGATTATCATTACCAGAATTGGTAGTGAGTAATGCAAGTACTAACATTGCACCCAAATGTGTACGGAATTGCACAGTATTACCATTGAGAATAAATAACCATCGGTAACAGCATAGTGTATTACTGTTAATATGGATGAAACGTTATTGAAAAAGTATAATTACTCGTATCATTGATGAAATGTTAGAAATTTTCGTGTCAAATGACACGGTGCAAGATACTTCGAACAGTAGAAATTGCAAGATCCGGAGTTGTGAAAGTCTCAAGGATATTAATTGAGACAGCCTGTAGAAATGGCGGACGCTCCTCCATGATTGCAGGGTCAAGTGATGACAAGGACAACAACCGTATGAGTGTTAAGCTTTTTCGTTTATTGAAAATATCTCTGTAAAACGTGTGTATATTGTGGCCGGGCGAGGTAAGCCGACAAAACCGAATCGTTTTTTTTTTTTTGTTTTTTTCGACAACGAAACGAAATCGGGTGGCAAACGAAGGAATACGGTGAAGACATTGAAAACAATAATAGAGTCGAATCGTTATTTAGTTATCTACATAAGTAAAGGACGAATCAACGATGCATTCGCTTACTTTTCTTTTTTTCTCTTTTTTTTCTTTTAATCTTAGTATATTAATTATATTATGTATAACAAAGCGGTAACAACTTGTTAATTGTAACTATTACGGTAATAATCGTTTACTTTATATAATTACAATAATGTAATGTAAGGATGATCGTTAACTAATCGATAACAAACGAATCGTTTCCTCCTCCATCCTTCCTTTCGTCTTGATCATCATTATTTATCCTCATCATTTCCTCAACTTCGTTATTTTTCCCCTATGTTCTTCTTGTTACTCTTTTTTTTTTTTTGTTTAAACTTTTTTCGAATCCGATATC